AACAAAAAAAATAAAAAACCCCCCCCCCCCCCCCCCCCAATCTTTCTTTCACCCTCTGCTGCTTCAAAGGACGTGAAACCTTAACTTCATAGTTTTTGCTTTCTAAACACACAATAATGAAGTGTGCTCAAGGCAAATATTTGCATCATTCTTCTTTTGGAAATAACACATTTCGCATGTGTACAAAAAGATATTAACAAAAATTCTATCAGAAACTGATTATAAGTCTTGATACATCAGCAATTCAAGGAAACGAAGTCTTACATGTTGAAGAAAGAATGCCTTAGCAACATATGAGAATCCAAGCTTGAGTGAACAGCCATTTTAAATAACAAATAGTTAATCCAAGCTAATTCTCAACATTAGTTATTTCTGATTACCATTTAATATTCCCAAGGAAAAATTATAAATGAATTCAATGAATGTGTCATGATGTATATAATTGCAAATAACTAAGAGCTAGGGAGGATTGTGTATCAAAGTTAATTTTCCATGATAATTTATGTAATAATGAAAAAAGGGAAACATTTTAGATGCTTTGGTAGGGGTCCAAAATGCAATGGAGAATTTGCAAAATTTTAGAAAAACATAAAGCTTGCTTGTAAAACAGTGATTCAATTTCCACATATTGGGGGGGAAAAACTTATTTTAAACGAAAATCTTTTCCTACTTTTATGTGTTTTCAAAAATAAATTGAAAATAAAAAAAATTTCACTAAATAATTCGAAGTTAATTATCTCTCTCACATTTCTTTTCAACGTGCTAAAATTGGAAATGTTCCAAGTTTCCATGCAAACCTATCAGACTTTGAACCAAGTTTCGAATGTAATTGCCTAATAAAAAAATAAAAAAATCAATCCATGTCAAAAGGGTGACTTTTCCAATCCAGATTCTAATGCGCGGATCTCCCGCTGAGACCAGAGGCAATAAAAAGTCAAAAACAATTTCAAATAATCAAAAACAAAATATACAACTGCACGGGAAACAAAAGACAATCTAGCGAAATTCAATATTGAAGCACCAAAAAACCCTAACAAAATCGACAATATAAAATCCCAAGTTTCCACAAGGATCCTAATCCAATTTAATCTCGAAACAAACAAGAAAATTTCAAAAACAGCTATACGAATACATAGATGGAAACATGCCAACTATTATAGACAAAAATAGGAAAAGATGGGAACAGCAAAACATACTCATCTGCTCAGGAGTAGAGAACTGGCGACGGCCAGTGGGCTTGCCCTTGAACTTTCCCCTTCCCATTTCAGTGCACGTGTAACAGGAAAATGGCCGATTTCAAGAAAGAAGCAGATTTTAATATGTTATTTTTGACTCCTTCCTTGAATAAGATTCTCCTTTTTGTGAGAAAACAGAAAACCCTAATTGGAGGAGAAATAAAGCTACTCGGACAAGTTAGTGCAAGGGCCGATTGGGTGATAGCAAAATAAAAAGGACATCCACTTTTCCAACTTCTAAAAGTTTTATTTGTCAGATAAATTTTTTTCAAAAAATTATTCAAACGAATCCAAAAACAAAAATTAAAAAAGACAATTTTTGACTTTTAAAAGCCGCATCACATGGATCCTAAAATTATCTGGTCCTTCATATATCATCTTGTATCGTTCATAGTTTTTTAATTTCAAAAATAACTTTTAATTTTTCAAAAATCATGTTAATCGAACCCTTAATATATCCTCGTCTTGTTAATAATTTTGGTAAATAGTCTTGCTTGATAGTTCATTATTGAAAATCGACAATTGTTCAACTTCTAATCATCCACAATTAATCAATGGAGGTAAATTTCGTTTGCGATAACTAAACGTTTACTTAGTGTCAATTAGGTAATTGTATTTCAATTTTGCTCAATCAGATAGCTAAACTTTAATTTGATTTCAATCATGTAACTATACTATACTTTAATATTCCAAAATCTTCAAAGCTTATTTCTTTTGTTTGATAAAATTTGCATATGTTGATTGCGCAATTTTTTATACAAGAAAAATTGCATCAGTCCCACATTGACCACCTCAAACTATGTTGTCATTGACCTTTTAGAATCCTAAAACATTACTGGATCATTTCTTATATAGATCAAGACGTCTACATATAAACAAGCAATCAAAAAAATTTCTACAGCTCCAAGTTTAATAAAGAGAGTATACCTATATGGACATTTTTACCAAGTTTTTTGTGCTTGTTTCAGTCTCTATAAAACCTTCTTAAAACTCTATCCCTTCTTTTCACTTCCTTGTTGCACCTAACCAGAGGGTTGATCAATATAAACTTGTTCATTGTGATTACCATGTAAAAATATTTTTTTTCACATCCAACTGAAAGATAAGCCAATAAGTTTGTGCAACCAGCGATTCCAGCAGGAATTTTTTCCACTCCTTGCAACTGAAGCAAACACTTGTTATCAATGCCAAATTCCTACTTGTATCACTTTGCAACAACTTTGTTTTATGTACCTATTTAACGTCAATAAATTTTTGCTCTTTTGTAAGTTCTAACAGTTCCCATTTATAGTCCTTATACATGGTTTTTGGCTATTTCGAATCTCTAACAACTTCTTGGAATGTTAATAGATAACAATCTGATAATAAAGCATAATGAGCAAAAATAAGCAAGAGTATTGTTGATCTCGAAAATTGGACCTTCTACTTGGCCAATCGAGAGCTACTTCACGTATTCCTCTCTGCGCACAATCAACGCATGGTTAGACGTACAACGTCGGGACTAGAGCGGTGGTGACGGCCGTATACACTCCGACAGTCAAGTCAGGTTCAGATGGTCGAAATAGTACCCAGTGGTTGTGCAAAATAATAAGGGGAAGGAGAAAATATATATATATACTTGCTATGGAGTGCTATGTAGTAAGAGTTTCATTACCTTTACCTCTTGCCAACCCTTGGGTATTTATAGGTGGGATGAACCGTTGGATGTGGGGCACGTGTATACATCTGACGGTATGAGGTGTCTGCTCATAAACGTCAATCAGCCGCGTCTATAGAGTGGGCGGATAATTGCTTCTCCCGAGTTGAGTTGACATAAAGTTGATAAATCACATCAACTAGCCTCATAGAGACGTCAAATCAATTTAAACCTTAGGGACAGAAATGATCTTGGTAAAGATCTCCTTCTGAAATTGGTGGCGGATCTTCTGACAGAGGTCCCCGAAGTGCACTTCGCCTCGGCCTTTGGGGTGAGAGCTCTTCAGTCAGTTCAGCAGGATCGCCTATGTCTCGCAGTATGATAGCAGATCGTTGACATTGGGGAGATCACTTCGGAACCACTTCAAGTGGGTGTCTAGCAGATCGGAGTGTGTGGTGGTGGACATTCCGAGGTGGTTTAGATAGGGGCGTAATAGTGATCTCCCAAGTCTAGGTATGAATATTTATATCATGGGTGGACTTGCCTTCCCGACCGGATGTGTATGCCTTGGTACGTGGACCGTGACTTGTGGGAGTTTGTGGGCTGATCTTCTACATTCGTCGAAGCGATGATCTTAGGCAGATGCTCTAAAATTTCACTACTGCGTAAGGAAAACAATTACTCATGTGAGACCGAAGTGCTGCAAGACTGGATGATGCGTAGGAAGAAGGTTAACGCAGCGACCGAGGCTATGACCTACAGTGGACTCACTTCAGGTGCGTTTAAACTTTATAAAGTTGAGTGAGGAGCCCATCTGCCACCGGTGCGTTGACCCACAGGGGATGATGCGTTGGGAGATGGCTAAAACACTGTAAAGCTTAGGAGGGAACGCAGCGACCGAGGTGATGACCTACAGGGGACTACGCATCAGGTGCGTCTAAACTTCATAAAGTTGAGTGAAGAGCCCATCTGCGACTGGTGCGCTGACCCATAGGGGACGACAATTTGGGAGATGGCTAAAACTTTGTAAAGCTTAGGAGGGAACGCAGCGATCGAGGCGATGACCTACAGGGGACTCCGCGTCAAGTGCGTCTAAGCTTTGTAAAGTTGAGTGAAGAGATCGACCCGAGGCAAGCATCTGACCTTAAATGATTTGACAGCTATTGCGTATTTTCAAGGTGACAGTTAGGTGTCATGCCCATTCCCCTAAAAGGCTGCTGCGGCTACTTATTGTCGACGGCTAACGGTGACCGAGGTGACGCATTTTATGCGAGCGTGAGGGTCATAGCAAGATCTCAGGCATAGATTAAATCTGGCGTTTCATTTCAACGGCCTAGATTAATTGCATTTGAATTCAACGGTGGAGATCAGCTGGAGCGTTCTATAAAAGGCGGACTTTGAGCGTCTTTGAAGCTTTTCATCCTTATGCAAACAGAAAATTTGCTTTTCATCCTTATGCAAACAGAAAATTTACTTTGCTCTCAAATCATTCGCAATTTTCGGTGTTTTCGAGCGTTTTTGATGAGAAATATCAATTTTCGACGACCTCACACCATTTCCTGACCATTGCTGGGGAACCCTCTGAATTCGTAAGTTTCAGTAACTTTTGGACATTTACTTTCTGAAAAATGGCTTATGAGGGAAGTTCTAATTCAGGGAGGGGGCTAGAATTAGTGAGGATGGACGAGCTCATTGTGGCGACCTCCTTTGATATAGCCGAAGCGATACTTGGGGGAGAGAATATGTGGAAGACCCCGAATAGCCCAGTTGATACTGGGAGCGTCGGATTATCCCTCCAGACTAAAGGAGGCAGACTTAGAGAGACTTAGGGTAGAATATAGGATTACAAATAGCATAAATCTGATCCTTCCTGAGCCTGAAGAGAAGGCCTGCTACCCTAGGCTCGGTGCGTGGCCACAAGTGAGGCGATCCTTAGAGCCGGCCTTAGGCTTCCAATTCACCATTTCTTTAGGATGGTACTTAGGTCCTATGGATTAGTTTCGACCCAACTCAATCCGAACTCCTGGAGCCAAATGGTGGGCTCCTGGATGTTGTGGAAAGAGGCATCACTTGGGGTTGAGATGCTCTTCTCCATCTTTCAGACCCTTTATATCCCTAAAGTAACAGCCGGGGGGATAAGACCTAGGGGTGGTATTACCTTACTTCATGAGGTTCCCATACTCCATTCGTGCTCGATCTGTCGAGCTCCATCAAAGAGTGGAAGAGCTCATGGTACTGGGCCGCAGGACGATGGGACACGATGGAGGGGGACCCCTTGGCACCTCTTACGGTCCCCACGAAGTACTCAACACTTAGTGAGTATTGCAGTTGCGTTTCTTTATATTTCTCTTCGGTTCGGATCGTGACTAACATTCGTATTTCTCTTGAAAGTACTCTTCTTTGGTGAGAACTATCTTCTGAAGACTTCAACACCATTTGCATCATCTATCAGCTGCCTCAAAAAAAGAGGTCATACCATCGGCTGATCATAAAAAATCTACACTTCGTTACACACGACCTGATGGCATCTCAAGGTAACTGTTCCGAAGTCTTTACCATTCAATATTTCTTAACTCTTTACACTTGTACTAATTCATCATTTGTTCCTTACAGACAACTTCAACAAGAAGATACCCGTGTCCCCCGACTTTAAGACCATCCAAAGGATGATGGCAGAGGCACGGGCGCTGAAAGCCTCCTTCTCCGCCTACAAGAAGCAAATGGAGGACCTGGTAGATGCCAGTAAAAGGCTCCAGCCTCCGACAAAGGAGGAGGTGCCAGAGGACCTTGAGACCGACCTGTTGCAGAAGGGCAAAAAGAGTGCCGCCCCTTCAAAGCACCCAACTGTGGCAAGGCCACCCCCCATTCTGAAGCAAACTACAATCCTAACTGGGGTGGCCATTTCGGAGAAGAGGCCTGCACCAGCAGGGGTTGTTAATGCCCCAGCCACTTCGCCACTTGCTGCCGTGCCTATTGCCCAAGTGCCGGGGCAACAGAGGAGAAAGAGGGCTATCCTTCTAAGGAGGTCGACTTCTTGGGTGTCAACCCGGAGGAGCCAGTGAAAGAATTGTTGGAGGCCCTTCCTCCATAAACGGCTGCGGTGGCGGCGGTCCACAACAAATACTGGACCAAAGAGTGGAGGGACCACACTGCTTCCTGCACAGTCGAAGACCTGGTGGCGGGCAATAGTGCCTGCGTGGCCCGGGCTCTTAGCACCAGCATCCAACTTGAGAGCTTGGTAAAGGATCTGAATGCTAAGAGGGAGGACCTCGCCAAGCGCCTCAAGGAGGCGATGCAGTACGGGAATGCTGTGAGAGAGGCTCGGGCCAAGGCCACTGTGGAGGAGAAGGGACGGAAGGAGGTTGAGGCCCAGTTGACTGCCGCCAGAGTAGAAGTGGAGCGGCTGAAGAAAGAGCTATACGAGGTGGAGTGCCAGGTGGCTGCCATGAGTCGGTGAGTGGATCATGCCAACGAGCACCACCAGCTCGCCACGGAGGCTCTGGAGGCCTCAAACAAAGAAAAGGCAGAGCTGAGGTAAAAGGTGGAGGCTCAATCTGAGGAGATCGCCTCCTTGAAGGAGGAGTTGAAGTCGGCAGGGGAGGTGGCGATTCAGAATTTCATTGACCACTTCGAAGAACACCCCCTGTATGATGACTTCGCCAACTTTTGGGCCTCCTGGAGTGCCTAAGGCTTGCTGGGTTGGCTGAAAGAGGTCCATCCCACCCTGGACATCTCCTCTTTGATGGCAGAGTTCAGGGGACCAACTGGAGGCCGGCTTAATAAGCTTGCTAAAGAAGGTCTGGAGGCCCCGGAGGCGGTCGAGGCAGAAGCGGTCCGAGAAGATCCTCCAGTAGAATAGGGCCAACTTTGTAATGGCTTAGGCCTTTTTGTATTTCAAATTCAAGTAAATGAAATGAAATTTTTTGTTAAGTATTATTGCTTCTGCTATCTTATTATATTGATCTGTTTACCCTTGTATGAACATTCAAGACTAAGCGCCTCTTAAAAATAACTAGTTAATAACAGAAGATCGGATCTCAAGTTAATATGAAACGGTCCACTTAAGTACCTCTTAACGTTAATCAATTAACAATTTGAGATCAGATCACTTAAGTAAACATATGGAATGACTGAGGAAACAATTTACTAACCGATGTGGCACAGAATCGAAGTTTCATTATTTTGATAAATTACACCACACTTTACCAAGGCAATTTCAGCACTTAGTAAGCTAGGAAATTTATAACTGAGATCATATCAGAACACCCATTCATTAGACAATATTGAGATCAGATCGGAACAAAGGCTCGTCATTGATAGTACTTCCTCAAGTGTTCGATGTTCCATTGATGAGGTAGTGCCTTTCCTGCCATGTCTTCAATTTCGAAAGTGCCAGGTCGGGATTCTCTGTGGATGCGATAAGTGCCCTCCCAATTCAGTCCAAACACCTCGGACCCTGTTGGTTTTGAAGATTGGAAGACCCTTCTGAGGACGAGGTCCCCCAAGCGAAGAGTTCTGTTTCTGACCTTGGAGTTATAATAGCGGGTCATCTTTCGATGATACTTTGCCAAGTTCACTTGGGAAGCATCCCTTCTTTCTTCAAGGAGGTAGAGTTCGTTTATTCGAGTCTCATCGTTGCTGATCTCGTTGAAGTGTATCCGACGGTATGATGGGACCCCGACCTCGATCGAGCTTATGGCCTCGGCTCCATAGATCATCGAGAATGGTGTTTCCCCTGTTGCAGTTCGACTAAATGTTCTGATGGCCCAGAGGACGTGGGGGAGTTCATCCACCCAAGCCCATTTTGAGGTGTCAAGTTTCCTTTTCAGGGTGTGCTTGATAGTCTTGTTCACTGTCTCAACTTGTCCGTTTACTTGAGGGTGATGAGGCGTTAAGACGTCATTCTTTATGTCTAGCTCGTCGCATAATTCTCGCATCTTCCTGTTGTCGAACTGTCTTCCATTGTCGGACACTAAGGAGTGGGGAATGTCGAACCTACAAATGATGTTCTTCCAGAAGAATTTAGTAGTGTTCGCCTCGGTGATCTTGGCAAAGGGTTCAGCCTCAACCCATTTAGTGAAGTAGTCAATGGCGACAATGGCGAAAGTTGCACTTCATCTTCCTTTTGGGAGTGGACCAATGAAGTCAATGCCCCACTTGGCGAATGGCCAAGGGCTGGTTACTACGGAGAGGCTCTGAGAAGGCTGCCTTTGAATATTTGAGAAGCGTTGGCACTTGTCACATTTCTGGAAAAACTAGCAAGCGTCTCTTTTCAGGGTCTGCCAGAAGTAGCCTTGACGGAGAACCTTGTGTGCCAGAGCCGTTCCTCCAGAGTGATTTTCGCAGATTCCCTCATGGATTTCCCTGAGTATGTATGTGACATCTTCGCCTCCCACGCATCGGAGAAGTGGCGAGGCGAAGCCTCTCTTGTAAAGAGTATCTTCTTGCAGGACGAAGTGTGCAACCCTTCTTCTTAGCTTCTGTGCCTCACTTTTAGAAACAGACAGTGATTGATCCTTCAAATAGGCGATGATAGGTTGCATCCATAATGGGGTGCCTCCTATCCTTAGTACATCTTCACCTCCGAAAGTGGAGTGCTTTGATAAGTGCTCAATAGGGACAACATTTAGCAGCTCTGAATCCTTGCTGCTGGCTAGTTTTGAAAGGGCGTTTGCATGTATATTTTCTAGGTGGGGGACTTGAGTCAGTTCGAACCTTTCAAAATGAGGAGCTAGGTCCAGAACCAACTTCAAGTATGCAACCATGCTATTGTCCTTGGCCGCGAAGTTCTCATTGACCTGATTCAGTATAAGTTGAGAATCACTACTCGCCAGGAGCCTTCTGACCTACATCTCCTTTAGCAAGTCTAAAACTTGCCAGAAGGGCCTCGTATTCAGTAGCGTTGTTCGAGGCTTTGAAGCCAAACCTTAATGCGTAGTTTAGCTTGTGGCCTACCGAGCTTTCCAAGATGATCCCTGCCTCGGAGCCAGTCTCTCTTAAGGACCCATCTATGAACAGTTTCCATGTGGGAGGTCTTCCAATATCAATAGGTTGATTGTTTCGCTCCTGTATCTTCCAAAAGGAAAAAAGATCTCTGAGAGTTTTTGTCGCCTCCATTTCTGGGGCTTTGGCAAATTCAACCATAAAATCTGCAAGGGCCTGGCCCTTGATGGCGTGTCGAGATCGGAATAATAAATCAAACTCACTGAGCTCGATTGCCCATTTTAGCAAGCATCCTAATGCTTTTGTTTTCTGCATAACCTGCTTCAATGGGAAGTTAGTGAGAACTTTGATTAAGTGGGCCTGGAAGTATGGCCTCAGTTTTCTTGAGGCTGTGATAAGGGCTAGTGCCAGTTTCTCCAAGTCTGGGTAGCGTGTTTCAGTTGGAAGAAGTGCTTTGCTGACGTAGTACACTGGAAGCTAGCGCTCACTTTCTTCTTTGACTAGGACGGCGCTGACCGCCACGTCCAAGACCGCTAAGTATAGCAGTAGTGACTCATGTGGTTGAGGTTTTGATGGGAGAGGTGCCTCTCCGAGGTGCTTTTTCAGTGCCTGGAAGGCTTCCCCACATTCAAGAGTCCATTGGAACTTCTTTCCTTGCTTAAGCACGTTGAAGAAAGGCAAACTTTTATCTGTGACTCTGGAGATGAAGCGACTGAGTGCGGCTATTCGACCATTGAGGCTTTGGACTTCCTTTGGTTTCTGAGGTGATCTCATCTCTAGCAAGGCCATTATTTTCACTGGATTTGCTTCAATTCCCCTTTGATTGACAATATATCCCAAGAACTGACCTGAAGCCACTCCAAAGATGCATTTGAGTGGATTCAACTTCATCTTATATTTTCTAAGTATCTGAAAAGTTTGGTCAAGGTGACTTACGTGTTCGGCTGCCTGGAGACTTTTGACTAACATGTCGTCTACGTAGACCTCCATGATTTTGCCAATGAGTTCGATAAACATCATGTTGACCAGCCTTTGATATGTAGTTTTGGCATTCTTCAATCCGAAGGACATGACTTTGTAGCAGTACAGACTTCTGTCCGTAATAAACGACGTAGCTCCCTCATTAGGTCGGAACATGGGTATCTGGTTGTACCCTGAGTATGTATCTATGAAGCTCAGCAGTTCGTGTCCAGCAGTGGAATCCACAAGTTGGTCAATCCTTGGAAGTGAGAAGCTATTTTTAGGGCACGCCTTATTCAAGTTTGTGAAGTCTACACACACCCTCCACTTTTCGCTAGGCTTTTTCACCAGGACCAAGTTGGATATCCACTTCAGGTAGATGACTTTCCTTATGAAACCACTGCGGCTAAGTTTGTTTACTTCGTCTTTTAGTGCCTCGTACCTCTCCGGATTGAGAGCACGTCTTTTCTGCCGATGGGGGGCACAAGAGGGGTTGATGTTAAGAGGGTAGCAACTGATCCTTGGATCTATTCCCACCATGTCTTCATGCTTCCAAGTGAAGACATCCACGTTCCTTTTGAGGAAGCTTATCATCTCTTCTTTTGCTTTGGGGGACAGTACCTTCCCTATATGCAAGACCTGACTGGGTCTTCTGGGTTGGCGGAGAAAGTTTCCAGTTCTTCTATTGGGGTTGCATTTGGTTCAGAGTCAATTACTCGGGGATCTAACTCATCAAGAGAGTGCCCTTGTTCAGGGGCCTCTTCCATGTAGACGTCTTCTTCTTGTTCAGAGATATGCCCTTGTTCAGGGGCGTCGAGCATTTTCACGTCTGTACTGGTTTCAATGGGGACCTTAGTTAGGATTATATTAAGAGTTTTCGGGGCTCTGAGTTTAAGTAGCATGCCCTGGAGCCCATCTGATCACCTCGGACCGCTGCAATTCTATGTTCAGTTGAGAATTTCATACACAAGTAGTGGATGGATGTGATGGCCCAAAAATCTTTCAAAGCGAGTCTACCCAATACTCCATGATAGGCCGATCTGTGGTCTACCACTAAGAATTCCATGAAGTATTGGCCACTAAGGGTGTCGAACCCATCTCAACGGGCAGAGTGATCCGCTCTCGTGGGACGATGCTGTCTCCAGTAAATCTGAATAGTGGGTCGGTCATGGGGATCAACCCATATTCAATCTGCATTTTGTCAAAGGTGGAGCCGAACAATATGTTCACCGAACTATCATTGTCGATGAGCATGCGTTTGAGCCTGTTTCTGGCTACTACGGCTCTCACAACCAGTGCATCGCAATGGGGATGGTGAACTCCTTGCGCATCTTCCTGGGAGAAGGTAATTGGGGCCATCCTGTTTGCCTCTTGGGACTCGTTGACAATGTATGTGATCATTGGTAGGTCCTTTGCTTCCCTTGTATAATTCCTTTGGGCATTCCTGGTGTTGCCACTGATGTGGAGTCCATCAATGATAGTGTCGATTTCCCTGATGATTTGGCCCCCAGAAAATGGGGTCTAATATCTCTGTCTGGACTTTCCTTGGTCCCTTGATTCTCTTCTCCGGGGTGACTGCTCTCTGTACCTTCGATCTCCCCTGTTCGGGGAGACAGATCTATGAGGATATTCATTCCTCCTGGAGGGGTGTGGGTCGGTCCGGTCTGGGCATCGAGGAGCGTCTCTGCATTCGTTGGTGTCATACCCATAGAATTGATGGAAAGTGCAAAACCTTGCCCCTTCCAAGGGCCTGTTTGATCGCTTCTTCTTCTTCTTTTTCTTGCTATCGTTTCTTCCAGATGGTCCCGCTTCACCAAGAGCATTTTCATATGCCAATACCAGCACTGCATTTAGTGTGGCAAAAGCCAGTGCCTGTCCGGAGATGGGAGCTATTACGTGTCCTGCTTGAGTCCATTGCTGAGTAACAAGGTATGCTGCGGGTCCTCGACCTACCTGCCTCTGAGGCGGAGGGAGTCCCTGCGCGGCACGATTTCGATGATCAATCATTTCTTCACTCACGATTTCAACTCTCATCATTTCCACGAGTTCGTCATAGGTGGAAAGATTCTTGCTGCGCACGTCCCTCCAGAACAAAGTGTTCATGTTGAGGCCACCTTTCAGGGCTAAAAGGGCTTATCTGTCAGTGACTTGTTCGCAGTATGTGATTTCGTCCGTAAACCTGGCGAGATAGCTTTTCAGTGTCTTTCCAGGGGCCTGCCTCATGTCTTACAGACGTTGCACTGGGGCCTTTCCTTCTCTTCGCGAGAGGTACTGATTCAAGAATGTCTTCTTCAAGTCTGGCCAACTTCTAATGCTTAGGGGAAAAAGCCTGCTGTACCACACTTCGACGGTTTAGCCTAGTGTTAAATGGAAGGCTCTGCATTTCAAAGCAGGGCTCCCCTGAGACTCATTTGTGTCATATACTTGGTGAGGTGCTTCTCCGAGTCCCCCTTTCCTTCATACTTGGAGATCTTAGGGGGCACAAAATTTGCTAGCATTGGGAAACTTTGGATCTTCCTTGAGAAAGGGAGGTTATCATCATTATCGTCAATCTCATAAGACCGACAAGGCCTATCTGACCTTTCATCATCTTTAATGTTCTGGAGAGGTGGAGATGCTTCTCCTCGACTCCTCCAATCGACTAAGTTCCTCCTGTCCCTCCTATTTCTAGGAGGAGAAAGAACCTGTTCTTGTTTCTGATCTGGCCGAACTGATCTTCTCACTGGGCGGACCCTATTGCTAGGATTCTCCCTATTCGGTTGAAGACGCTTATCAACCTTTGTTCCTCATATTCTTGAGGGAAATTGTCCCCTAAGTGTGGTTCTGATGGCTGGTTCCCTTGCACATAAGATGTGGCTTCGGCGTCCACTTCTCTTTCGAGGAGGCGTTCGCTGTGCTGACTGGTGTGGCCTCGGGAACGAGATACTGGGGCTTCCTGCACTGGGTAAGATCCTTGGAGCATTTGAAAGCCCTGGTGACCTCGGGCTTGCATGAGAAGTTCATGCATCGCCATATTCTGAGCTGCGATGTCTCT